GGAGAAGTGCACGGGATTATGGTGATGGCACACGGGTGACTTGGTGATGGGAAACCCGCGGGGATTACAATTGAGATGGAAAAAAAAAATGTACAAAATGATGTAAAAATAAACTGTTATAAAATTTAAAAATTTTTTAAAATTCAGATACCCCTCATTCAGAAGAATTCTAAAAAACTTAAAATTTTAAAATATTAAAGGAAGGCACTCTACAGATATCACACTAGAAAAGATTTTTTAAAAATCTAATTTTTCTTTCTATGAGAAAGGTAGAAGTTGGCTAAAAATGAAACAATGCTCTAAAAGTTTACCTAATGTTGCAACCAATACATTAAAAGTACAATACACTGTAATTGCACCATAAAGCAGAAGTCAGTAGAAATATGGGTTGGTTCTGTGATGATATCTAATAATCAAAGTTGCTTTGATGTACAAAATGTTGCTTAACATCCTGTAAAGCTATACCTACAATTGGGCTCATAGAGGTACACTTAATGTAACATATACACATATTAATTTTCAGTAATGTACACCTAAAGCCTATGTTGTCATAAAGCAATGTTAATTCAATTTAAACAACAGACCAAAAAAGATAAATACTAAATGATCTCACTTATATGTGGATTCTTAACAAAGTCAAGCTCCCAAACACCAAAAACAGAATAGTGATTGCCCAAAAGTAGGGGTTCATGGCCCTCCCTGGTGGCTATCCACAGCCACTGCAGCATGAATTTGATGCCCAGCTAGGGAAGCAACCCACATTGTGTGGCAGACTGCTCCTTACCCATCCTCTGCTCCCCTCAGCAGTGTATTTCAGTACATCTGCTTGTTCTGCACCCCACTCTATATCTAGTGAATCCACTCTCACACACACACACCCATACCTCTGGCCTGTACCCCAGTTCTTGTGTGCATGAATAAATAAATCTTTTTTAAAAATTTGGGGTTTCACACATGTCTTTTGCAGCAACTTGGATGGAGCTGGAAAAGATCATGCTTAGTGAGATAAGCCAGAAAGAGAAAGAAAAATACCGGATGGT